GCACATTAAGATCTCTAAGAGCCAAGGTAGCCAAGATGGTGAAGGAAAATGACCAGAAAAAGAAGAAAGCCAAATAGAAAGTACCTGGGTTCAACTGACGTGCCAGCCTGCTCTACTCAGAGCAGTACACTTTGCAAGAGCCAGTGGAAAGGAGCCTGAGCTGCTGGCACCTATTCCCCTGAATTTACAGCATAGTAGGTGTTACAAAAATAAAAGACCTCTGGACTACAAAACATAAAATGAAATAAAAAACTCAAAGGGCAAGTTTGGTCCTTTCTTACTCTTTATCCTTCTGCCATGTGATGCCTCCCATGCGATGACACAGCAAGGTCCTTGCCAGATGCTGACATCTTGATATTGGACTTCCCGGCCTCCAGAACTGTAAGTAGTTTCTGGTCATTATAAATTAGCCAGTCTTTGGTATTCTGTCATAACAGCACAAAATATACTAAGGCAGAGGATGGGGAGCTGACACTCTGACAAGCCCTCAGGAAAGTGACTGCTAATCCAGGTAACAGCATGCCCATCTTTGTATTTCTGTGTGGGAAGGAGCTGTGTGCTGAGGCCTCTGACTCACCACACTGGGAGGATCCCTCAGAGTCAGTGGGGTTGCCTCAGGACAGCAGGGTGTTACCCTAGGCAGGTTCAGGTGACCCAAATAACTGAATCCACCTTCAGGAAAGCCACTCAGTTCCAACTGGCAGGGTATCCTGAGGCTGCTGCATCAGGATTTCATTCTTGTTGTTTCTAATTAGAAAGGTAAGTCACATCTTTTATGCAAAATTCAAATGTTACGGAATCATATAGCATCATCAATGTACATCACCTGTAGCCCTATAGCCAAAGAAAATCTCAGTTAACAAAGCTGGGCAGGTGGTGTGTGCCTGTAGTCCCAGCTACTTGGGAGGTTGAGGCAGGAGAATTGCTTGAACCCAGGAGGTGGAGGTTGCGGTGAACCGAGATCGTGCCATTGCACTCCAGCCTGGGTAACAACAGCGAAACTCCATCTCAAAAAAAAAAAGAAAATCTCAGTTAACAGTAAGACACATATTCCTTGTTTTCTTTCTCAAACACATACATTTGTTCCTGTATTTAACAATATATCATGACCATCTTGCATATCAAAACATAGAGCTAGATCTACCTTATTTAAGAAATGTGTGAGGATTTATTCATTTTGTGAAATTATATTAGAGGAGTGGTACGTAAATATATTCTCTGTGAAATAGTCAACAATATGTAAATGTAAGACGAAAGTGAATTTCCTCCCCTAGTTCTTCCTACTCTACTCTTTCCAAAAGGAATAGTAATCTCTATTTCTTTTTCATTTATATGCACTCTCATTTATACATAGGCCTTAAACAACTTTCAAGTCAATACCAAACAGGCCTAACATACATTTTTAGTGGCTTTATGGTTTTTCTGAGTATGTCACAATTTAGTGCTTCTGAGATTAATCTGGGAACTTGTTAGAACACAGGTTGTGGAGGCCATCCTTAAGTGTCCCAAGTTGAAAACCAAGTCCCGTCATTACTCCCCGTCTGTATGAACACCCTGTCCATATCTCTGAGCATTTAAGGGAGAGTTCCATATGATTAAATTTCTAGCTGTGGAAATGATAAGTCAAGTGAGATTAGCAGCATTAATTTTAATAATATGGCCAAACTGAACTTTAACACTACAATGCTTCCTCACCCTCACAGGCAGTGCTTATGTATGCTGTCTGTTCCCTCCCCATCACCCATGGCAAACACTGCCTAAGACTGTTTCACCACTCTGATGTATGAGACACTTCATTATTTATTGTTATTTTTCGAGATGGAGTCTTGCTATCACCCAGGCTGGAGTGCAGTGGTGTGATCTCGGCTCACTGCAACCTCTGCCTCCCAGGTTCAAGCGATTCTCCTGCCTCAGTCTCCCAAGAAGCAGGGATAACAGGCACCTGCCACACCTGGCTAGTTTTTGTGTTTTTAATAGAGACAAGAGTTTCACCACGTTGGCCAGGCTGGTCTCAAACTCTGACCTCAAGTGATCCTCCTGCCTTGGCCTCCCAAAATGTTGGGATTATAGGTGTGAGCCACCGTGCCTGGCTGACAGTTCATTATTTGAATTTTAATTAATTATGAAAGGAGCTGAACAATAAGTGTCTTCTTTTTCTGTAAATGAACTTTTTATTTTGGAATTACTTTAGATTTACAGAAATGTAAAGGTAGTACCAAATTCCTATGTGCTCCTCACCAGCTTCTCCCAAAGTGAACACACATAACTGGCACATATGCCCAAACAAAACATTAGAACGCTACTATTAACTGAACTTCAGGTTTTATTTGGATTTTACCATTTTCCTACCAATGTCCATGGAATCCAAGATCCCACATTGCATTGAATTGTCATATCTCCTTAGGGTTCCTTGATCTGTGACACTTCCTCAGTTTATCCTTGTCTTCCATGACCATGGCAGTTTTGAAGTCCCGGTTAGTGTGAACTGTCCCTCAGTTTGTGTTTAATATTCTCGAATGATTAGAAAGGGCTTATGGGTTGAAGGGAAACGCCACAGAGGTGAAGTGTCATTCTCATCATGCCATGCCATATTGGATAACACATGGTATCACATACTTTTATAGTAAGGAAAATTCCAAACACACATAAAAATAGCAAGAGTAAAGAACTCATTACATGGTACTCCGCAATTACCAATGCTTTTCTACCAATGCTGTTTCTGGATAGCTTTTCAATATGGTTGGAAGACATTTTCATTCCACTTTTCTGTCCTCTTCTCCATCCTTCCTTCTTTCCTCCCTTCCTCTATCCTTCTTTTTTTTTTTTTCCAAGATGGAGTTTCACTCTTGTTGCCCAGGCTGGAGTACGATGGCGTGATGGGCTTACCGAAACCTCTGCCTCCTGGGTTCAAGCAATTTTCCTGTCCCAGCTTCCTGAGTAGCTGGGATTACAGCTACATGCCACCATGCCTGGCTAATTTTTGGTATTTTTAATAGAGATGGGGTTTCACCATGTTGGCCAGGCTAGTCTTAAACTCCTGAGCTCAAAGTGATCCACTCACTTGGGTCTCCCAAACTGTTGGGATTACAGGTGTGAGCCACCATCCCCAGCCTGGACCTGCTTTTTGTCATCACTATATAATGGCAATTTTTTTTTTTTTTTTTTTGAAATGGAGTCTGGCTGTTGTTACCCAGACTAGAGTGCAATGGCACGATCTTGGCTCACCACAACCTCCGCCTTCTGGGTTCAAGCAATTCTCCTGCCTCAGCCTCCTGAGTAGCTGGGACTACAGGTGCGCACCACCGTGCCCAGCTAATTTTTGTATTTTTAGTAGAGACGGGGTTTCACCTTATTGACCAGGATGGTCTCGATATCTTGACCTCGTGATCCACCCGCCTCAGCCTCCCAAAGCCTGGGATTATAGGTGTGAGCCACCAAGCCCGGCCTATAATGGCAATTTAAAACATATCAGGGATATAATACTCCTCCATGGGGGAAAAAATCAAGATACAGAACATTTCCAGCACCTCAGAGGCTTACTCAAGGAAATATTTTGATGCTTAGAATACTATTTAATCTTACCCAACTCTCCTTTTTGCAGGGTGCTGAGAAACTTAACTGCAGTCATGTTTAAGCTCCCCTGGCCTTGTAGGGGCATGGGAAGGACTGAATTTTGTGAGCCCTAAGGTCCTTTCTTGCTCTTTCGGGGGCTACTTACCTCCAGGAGTGGCTGTTTCTGCCCCTATTTCTCAAACATCACTGTGGAGGGTACTGAGCAACATCCCATCCAGCTTCCCCCTCCTCTCCTTTTTTCTTTCCCTTTTGTTTTTTTGACAGTCTCACTCTGGATGAAGAGCAGTGGCACAATACTGGCTGACTGCAGCTGCTGCCTCCCAAGTTACATTCTTCAGCCTCAGCCTTCTAAGTATCAGGGACTACAGGCACGTGCCACCACACCCAGCTAATTTTTGTATTTTTAGTAGAGATGGGGTTTCATCATATTGGCCAGGCTGGTCTCAGGTGTTGGAGTTACAGGTGTAAAGCCACCACACCCGGCCTCCCCCACTTTTTTTTTGAGACAGGATCTTACTTTGTCACCCAGGTTAGAGTGCAGTGGCTTGATTAGGGCTCACTGCAGCCTCAACCTCCTGGGCACATTTCCCGGACGCAAGCGATCCTCCTGCCTCAGCCCCACAAGTAGCTGGGGCTACAGGCACAGCTGCCATGCCCAGCTAATATTTTGTAGAGATGGAGTTTCATCACGTTGCCCAGGCTGGTTTGGAATTCTTAAGCTCAAGCAATCCGCCCACCTGAGCCTCCTAGAATGCTAGAATTACAGGTGTGAGTCACCATGCCTGACCCCAGCCTCTCTTTTGAGGCCTAAAACAGGAAAAAGAGATGTTCACTCAAAGCCTTCAGCTCATTTTCCTGATTCACTGTCCTGATTTCACTACAATTCCCAAGGCCTGGCAAGGTGCTCAACCGTTCTCAGTTGGGTCTGCAGGTCCTTTCTTTGTGAACAACATAACTGCAGATGCTTCACCATGTATATGTCAACCAATGCAATATATTGCAGCAGACCAAATGCTGAAGCACATGTGAGAATCTATTAGATTTTAAAAAGGTTTGCAAAAGTGTAAAACAATACTATTCCTTTATTTTGGTTGTGGGCGGGGAATATATATTTCCTTTTTAGACAGAGTCTGTCACACAGACTGTAGTGCAATGGCGCGACCTTGGCTCACCGCAACCTCCACCTCGTGCGTTCAAGTGATGATTCTCTTGCCTCAGCTTCCCGACTAGCTGGGATTACAGGGGTTCACCACCACACCTGGCTAATTTTTGTAATTTTAGTAGAGACATGGTTTCACCATGTTGGCTAGGCTGGTATTGAACCCCCAACCTCAGATGATCCGCCCGCCTCGGCCTCCCAAAGTCCTGGGATTACAGGCGTAAGCCACCGCACCTGGCCATTTACTTTTAAACAGCAACAAAAAAACTTTAAAGCATTTTAACTTTTAATATGGTAACATCGACAGCTATAATCCACATTAGTAACAGCTTGGGGCCCTCAATCATTTTTATGAGACTAAGAATTTGGGAAATGCTGTAGCTCTATGAGGCTATGCCTTTCTTGACGCCGAATCAATGAACTTCGGAGAAGGAAGGTAGTCAGCCCGCCGCCTCACCGCCAAGCTGGAGCCTCGCGCTCCAAATGCGTCCCTCGAAGTCTTCGGCAAAAGCGGGACTGGGGAATCCAGTCGTGTAGCCAAGCCACGTTTCCTCGCGTGGAAAGCTGGACAATGTTTTTCTACCTCACAGGACCACCAAAATGACTGCGTTAGGTATCCCCATGAAATGTACGATGAGTCACATCCTGTTCTACAGAAGCAAAAGTTGAAGCTCAGAAATGTCAAGAGCCTGTCCCGCGGCTAACTGGTTACAAGACCCAGGCACCCTAGCTAGCCGGACACTCCAGGTCAACCCGGCGTCTAACTGCCGCCGGCTCCTCCCGCCTGCTACACATCCGGCGCCCAGGCCGGAAGCTTCCCTTCCGGTTCCCAAGACCGCGCTCCGGAAATGAGTCGCTCTACCAGTACCTAAGATGGCCACCAACCTATCCACCGCCGCGATCAATGGAAGGGACCTGTTCACGAATCCGGAAGTTGCCCAACTCCGCCATGGCAGGCGCTGAGGGCGCCGGGGGCGTGGCTTCCGGCGGCCACAGTCTGTGAGTCTGGGCGTCGGGGTCGAGCCGGGGCGGCAGCTGACAGGCGCTCCTCCCCCGACGGCAGCGGCTGGTGCCCAGCAAGGCGGGCGGACCCAAGCTCGTGTCCCCGCGTCCCAGCCCGCGAGGCGCCAGGGCTGCGCCAGGGCATGGAAGAGGGGAAGATGGACGAGAATGAATGGGGGTACCACGGAGAAGGCAATAAGAGCTTGGTGGTGGCCCACGCTCAGGTGAGTGGCGGACGTACCGCGCAGGTCCAGGACCTCACTCAGACGGCCGGGATTACCCCGTCCCCATTATCCCTTTCCCCAGCAGGGTCGGTTCCACGTTCCCCCCAGTACCTTCCTCCTTCCCGGCCGTTCTTTCTCCCACCCTCCAGCATCCCCCCCAACCCCGTGAGTTCCTCATCACCCCAGTATCCCCTCTCTACTGGGTCAATCTCTTTCCCCCAGGTCCTTCCTTCTCCCCATCCGTTTCTCGTCCCCTCAGTATTCCCCCTCTCCGTCAGTCAGTTCCACGTCCCCCTCCGCGCCCCATCGGTGCCGCGCGCAGCCTCACGCGGTGCCGCCTCCCGCCTGGGTGCCCGCGGGACTGCCAGGCCGCAGTGGGGCGGAGGCTTAGCTGGGACAGAGGGCTCGGGCAGCACTGGAGGAAGAAGCAAAGTGCCCGTGGTGCTGTTACTCTCAGCACCAAAAGAGTTCAGCCTCGTGAGACTACGGAATTGCTTTTCTTGCTGCTGTTAATAGTAGGGGGACGTGGTCCACAGGTCCCCTTCTCAAACCTTTGGAATTTGAAGAAACCTGAATTCAATGATGTTGAAAGTGTCAGAAACTTCAGTAAGAACTCGCAAAGGTGAATCCAAGAGTGAAGCATGTGGGTTTGTGTGAGTGCCCATATCTCTCTGACCTTTTGCTGCCTGGTACAACCACGCCGGAATGTGACCGGTTGGGGGTGGGGAAGGAGGGTGAGGGGGGCGGGGGATAGGTGTCATATAGGGAGGAGTTAGAGCCTGGGTGTTAAAGGCACAGGAATCTCAGTTCTACCACTGCATGGTGGAGGCTCAGTGTCTACGTTTTAAAGTGGAGCTAGTAATAGAACTCACTTTGTGGGATTGTTGGAAAGATCAGTTAAGCAAGAACCCATCAAGTTATGCTTAGCAAGTGATAATTGTCATCCCCTTGGATACATAGATAAAGTGAAAGTAAGAGAGGTTAAGGGCACTGGCCCAGTCCAACAGCTTGTCAGGGATGGTGTAGGTGGTGGAGTACTGCCTTACTTCTCTTGTTTCTATGCTGGGTGCATTGATCAGCTGCAGTGTAAGCTGCAAACATCCAGGTAGCCCCGAGGTTCTGCCTTTGGATTTTGTTACTCATCAGCACTGGGAACTAAAGAACAGAGACTACAGGCTTTGCTCAAGATCTTTAGGTGAATATAATGGACCAGGCTAAGCTGAAGCTGTCCTTCTCTTGTTAAGTCCAAGACTGGGCAAAGTGAGGGATGTTTCCTCGTGAGTCCGTTTTGTTGTTGGATTACTGTGCCAATCTCCTGAATCCTTTCCCAAAACAAATGCTAATCTTCCAATTCCTTGGTGAGATTATATGTATCTCTGCATTTTAGGTAAACCCAAGGCGCTCTTTAGTGAGGGCTGATATATTAAGTTTCAAAAGTAGTGGCAGATGTAGCAGCAATTTTCAGGCTTGGAGCAAAAGGACACCCATGTTGAAAGAGCAGAGGCTTTGAGGCAGTTGCCTCTGGCATTTGGATCCCTCTGTATGTCTCTGACAAGTATGTGTCCACCCACTTCCCTGAGCAGGCATCTCCAGGGCATGCTGGCCCTCTCCCCTGTTGCACAGTTCTGATTGTAATGATTCTTTCTTTTTTCTTTCACCTTTTCAAATGTATCTACAGCTGCCAGGCTAGTCCTATGTTATTCATGTGTTTTGTTTTTGTTTTTAGATGGGGTCTCGCTCTGTCTCCCATGCTGGAGTGCAGTGGCCCAATCTTGGCTCACTGCAACCTCTGCCTCCTGACTTCAAGCAATTTTCCTGCCTCAGCCTCCCAAGTAGCTGGAATTACAGGCGCCTACCACCATGCCTGGCTGATTTTTTTTGTATTTTTAGTAGAGGTGGGGTTTCACCATGTTGGCCAGGCTGATTTCAAACTCCTGACCTCAAATGATCTGCCTGCCTTGGCCTCCCAAAGTGCTAGGATTACAGGTGTAAGCCACTGTACCCAGCTTTGTTCTTTATTTTAAATCTAAATTTGCTTTACCATGCTCATTTCTGCTTGGTTGTTGCTTTTAGCTTATCATTTGAAATTGAAGATTATCACTGCACATAGTGTCATGAGAAAATGTTTCCCATAAAGTTAAGGTCAGGCGGAGCCTGTGCCTGTTATAGTAACCTGAACCAAGCCTGGCCCACCAGCTCTGCCCTGTGGCGTTTGCTTAGGCTGTAGAGCTAGGAGGAGAGAGCAATTCCCGAAAGGCAGCTTTTTAGGACCTGTTGAGTTTGAGCAGACAGTGTGTGTCAGTGGAATAGAAGATGGGTGAGGGAGATGCTGAGCGTGTGCATGGCCTCCCTCCAGCCGGGTATGGGGAGGAAGGGAGGTGGACCCTGCTACTCTGCTCAACTCCTTAGATCCACCTCATTCAGTCCAAGAGAGAGGGAGGCCTTTGCCAAGTTTTTCCAGGTAAGGAGAGTGTTGCTTTCTCTGAGAGGGCATCAGCTCCTCTCACAATTGAAAGGTCCATAATGAGTCCTGTGCTGACTGCCATCCCCTCCACTGTGAGAACATGCTGCATCTTCAGCCAGCCTGAGCCCATCCTGCAGGAGCCGAGGGTCTAGGTAAGGAGATCTTCATGGTCATTGGCTATCAGCACTAGAAGGGGCAGAGTGATGTTCTCTCTGTGGTATGCAAACATGGGATGAGAGAGAGCTTTCTGGGGAGCACAAGACTTGTAGGAAATGGGGCCTGGGAATAGGTGTGTGCTCAGGGTGTGCAGGAAGGTAAGCAGCAGGCCAACCACAGACAGGCATTTAAAGGTGTTCCTGACAGAAGGTGGTCAGCTTCCCCAAGGCCCTTCCTCTCAGAGATGGCCCAGGACGATTCTCATTTTGCCCGTCAGTTTGCGCTCTGCCTCTGATTGGGATGGTTGTACACCTGAACTTTCCCAGGTGCAGGTAACCACGGTATTCTCTGCCTTGTGTGGCACAGACCCTGTGGCATGCTTGAGAAGCTCTCAGCAGCCTGGCATGTCCCCTGGTGAGTGTCTGGAACTCCAGACACTGACCCCATGGGGGCTCCTTGGGCAGGGGCACTTCCCATCTGGATGCAGTTTCCTCACTGCACACTGAAGTTAGTGAAGTGTGCAGGCTGCCCTTTTATGCATTGCTGCTGGATTTCTCTCCTGTGTGGCGCCTCCACCTGCCTCCTTCACCTTCAGCTGGTTGGTTTTGGCTCAGTGCCCTGTCCTGTGAAGGTCATTTTAGGTTTGGTTTGTCATTCCATCTCCTAGGTGTCCAGATCTGGATCATGTGCTTGCCTGGGGCACTGAGCCCCTTCTGGAACACCTCAGCCTTTGGGAGCAGGGGCAGAAGGTGGCCCACTCCCGTCATGACACTAAGCTGTCATGATGTTTTTCTTCTTACTGACAGAGGTAACATGAAAGACCGCCATTTAGTCAGCTTCCCAACAAAGAACATTGATCACATGTGTGGACAAAGCTGCTCACTTCCAGTTGTTCCAGTTTTGTAACCTTTCGGAGAGTCTAAGAGCTTCAGACCATTTCTGCAAATTGTTTTGGTGCCTGGGGAGTTTTGGTGTCTCTTTGGTACCTGTTTGGTGCCTGGGGTCTTTGTCTAGGCATTGAAGGTGTGAAGTTCAAGCAGTCAGGTACCCTTTTACTGTTTCTCTTCTCATCTTGTGTTTTAAGATTTCTGGTTCATAAATCATACCTTTTTTTTTTGCCATACAGCGTTATTTTGTGTCTTAAAATTTTAATAATTTAGATGATTATTTTGTAGTGGATGGATTAAGTAAATGATACTAGATTCCACTTCATATGAGGAAATGTTTACAATGTTACATAGAAAAAGCAGGTTACGTGAAACCCCGTCTCTACCAAAAATGCAAAAATTAGCTGGGCATGGTGGCGCACACCTGTAGTCCCAGCTACTCGGGAGGCTGAGGCAGGAGAATTGCTTGAACTCAGGAGGCAGAGGTTGCGGTGAGCCAAGATCGCGCCATTGCACTCCAGTCTGGGTAACAACAGTGAAACTCCGTCTCAAAAAAAAAAAAGAAAAAGAAAAAGCAGGTTACAAAAGAAGATGGATAATGTGATTGTAATTATAAAATGACTGAAAGAAAATACATGAAAATGTTCTAAGTGGCTATAACTGTTAGTATCATGAATCACTTACCTTTTTTTTGTTTTTTAAATATTTTCTAAATTTCCTACAATGGCTATGTATGATACTCGGGAAAAAAGATTAATTTCTGAAAAGTTTATGCCCTTTGATTTACTAATTTCTGTTCTAGTAGTCTGTTCCAAGGAGGTAATTAGAAATATAAATAAAGATCTTGTACACAAAGATATCCATTACAGAATCACTTAGAACAGGTTAGGTGGAAAGCCACTGTCCAGTCCTTCAGGACTGTTAATTGGGTCATACTTCCTACTGTGGATGCTGGAAGCACATACATTTATGATCTCCACTTTTTTCCAACTATATAGCATATGCCCCAAGGCCTGGGCCACTCCCTTTTAAAGTTTTTAGCTGGACCTAGTTGAAATAGTCTTAGTTTTCCATCACAGCTAGCATTTTGTTTAAACCAGTGACGTATTCTGCATTTGGGATTTTTAATGGTGGTGTTCTAGGCTGATGCAGTTGATGTGGCTTCTATCCTGGTGAGGTTCCTCCTTGTCTCATCCAAGCTTGTTGGAGAGCTGTGCTTGTGGCTCCCTCTTTGTTTATTCCTTTCTTTGTATCTGCAGTTGTGTGATGAGGTCTGCTTTTTGGTGACTGTCAGCCCTGTGATGGTTCCTCTCTGGCACTTGGGGGTTTCTCGGTTTGGCCTGGGCTTACTTCCTACTTTTATACCTTCTGAGGTGACACATCCACTTTCCTTTCCTGACTGAGCCTCCTTCTTGGTCAGAATTCAGTCAGAGCAAAGCTCCTCAGTGACTTCCTGTCTTTTGAGAACTGCAATCCAGGAGGGTGAGGAAAGC